TGAATTGGAGAAACGTTACGAAAGAAGATTTGTTACAGCCTACAATGTCGAAATGACGTGCCATGAATAAATCTTCATAGTTTATAAGCGAATTGATGCATTTTACCAATCAGGAGTCGCTATTTGTTATAGTGTTCATCTTTGACGGATAAAACAACAAGAGATGCCTTCATTGCTGACCTCAGTGAGGAGTATGAAGAGGTGTGTTTCTTGCTACATAGCACACCAGGCAATTTGAAAGGTGCGGTCCGCATATACCTATTGATTTCAGGTTCGTCAAGAGCACTACGAGTCGCTGAGGGACCGTCGTTTCACCCCTCTGGGGGTGGCAAGAGCGAAGCGAATGCTGGTGGACTTTGAAAAATTTTCCCCAGGTTTGCCTCAAACTTGTCGTCACAAATCCTTCACACACTGTGATGTGAGAACTCTGAATTTTTGTGAAGATTGAAAAGTGATTGGAAAGAGTGAAAGATGACTTTGATCTGCAGATTACCGATGTAGAAGCTCCAGTTGAAAATTGCGCCTTTCTTTTGATTACTGTACGCTCTTTCGAGTTTTAGACTTTTCTGCTTCCGCGTTTCACCTTTTCTTCAGGTTCATCCACATGTTTGACTGAGACGACCTATTGCGTCGCATGGCTATACACATGGCTATTTAGAACAGTACTCAACGCTTCCTAATTGAGTGTTTGCTTTTTGTTCATTTTAGTAAGACCGTCATTCCTCGGTCGACGCAAAATAGTGGACTTCGATCTTCGCCAGCTACTGCCATTCATCGATTGGAAGCCATTTTTCGACGTATGGCAGCTTAGAGGAAAATATCCGAATCGAGCATATCCGCGAATTTTCAATGACGATCAAGTGGGTGAGGAAGCAAAGCGTGTTTACGACGTGAGTTCTTTTTTCATCAAATTCACACAGTACCCGGGTTTTTGGTGAACAAATCAAATCAGTGTGAATTCAGGATGCCCAGAATTGGTTGGGACGGATTATAGGCGAAAAGAGGCTCAGGGCAAATGCGGTGGTAGGCTTCTTTGAGGCAGGCTCAGACGGAGACGACATTCAGGTAAGAGACAAAAAACTGGATACCACATACATCCGAACAAGGTAATGGTAATATTGGGACATGAAACTCAAACGTGCGCTTTCTGATTTTAAAGCTCCAGTTACAACACTCGGTTGAACTCTGATTCCTATCGTGGAAATATTCAGGGTGCGCTGTAAATACGGTAACGAAACAGTTCTTGCAGGAAAGCACAATGCAGATAGAAACACGACGAACTTTGCAAGCATTTGCTTTGCATGGTAGCGAAAGTGCAAGCGTGATATAATAATAAGATGTGCTTGCCTTCGGTATAGACTCTACAGTTGTTGACATTTCGTGTTTAAGCAGCGATGGCACACAATTTTCTTGAGTAACTGCACTTCAAGCGCTTTCCAGCGACTTCCCAGGGACGGTAGTAAAGTCCCCTAAATAGCCAGTCTATAGCTGGCCAATAGGTCACGTTGATCTCGCCTTCGTCGGCACTCAAAAAGCATGGGGAAAGGGCGGAAATTCACGCTGACCTCCCGCAGAGGGCGAGGTCTATACCACATGTTAAGTGGCGAACGTAGCACTAGCCTAGGCGGCGAACCCGGCAGAGAAAGGGGAAAGTGCGTGGAGATTGCAGAGACGCAGAGGGTCATGTAGAGGGCGACTAAAATGTACCCCTGCACGTCATGCATTGGTCGCATTGAGCGTCTCTCCGTCCCTGCCATGCGCAGAGCGCAGGGAAGAAAGGGGTACGTGGAAGGTGTTGAGTGTGGGCAGCAAGAAAGCCACTGGAGCTATCGATAATATTGATAACTTTCTGCCAATAAGGTGATCAGCTGTCCCCTGCAGTGTTCCACTTATTGATCGTGTTATAGCTCCTTCCTTGGTCCCGGGAGCATTTCACTACTGTACAATCATCTAGGCCATGATCCTAGGTTTCAAACACGTCGATTGGCGCAGTGGGTTCGTTCCTTGTTGACATTGGATCGCTCGCGGGATCAGTTCTCCATGATACTGGATGTTTTGCAACCCTCATAGGTTACTACCTTGCTTTCTACAATTCTTTCGAAAGTAACACAGCAATGCTTTGTGGTGCAGTGGCAAACGTCGCGCTCATGGGCGCTGCATTACATGGTTCAAGTCCATGGCGACGCGACTTTTGCTAGGAATGTAGTGAAGCTCGCCATTCAGAGCGGGGTCATCTGGCTGTCTCGCCTTTCATTATTCACCGCTTACGGCCGTAGTTCACCACCTTTAACTCCCAGTCTATGGCACTTTACTACCGTCCCAGAGTTTCGATTATGATGCACTTCATAGCGCTGGTTTTACTGTTCGCCCTACGTCCATCTAGTTGATGACAGACGAAGTTACTGACCGATAAGACTCAATGCTGAATTAAAAATCTTGGCGCAGCACCTGTTTGCAGCAATCCTCCCTCTGCGATTTGTAGCTTCATCCAAAGAGTATTCTCGGAATGATTCCTTGCTACGGGAGTGCTCAGAAAAACCTCATTCTTAATTTCCTTTAACATTTGGCCTTTTTTCGGAAAAATGAGAAACTTTCGCCCGGGCAATCGCGTCCGACGGCAGCCTGATCTCTGAAGTAAACTCCCGGGTGAGTAAGTACAGCTTGGTCCAAGTGAACCGGCGTTATGCGATAAAATACCAGAGCGACTGAAATCTAAGATCTACAGAACCGTCGTCCGACCAGTCGCCATTTACGGAGAGTGCTGGCCCGTGACTAAAGAGGTTGAGGCTCGTCTCAGTGTAATGGAGACAAAAATGCTGCGCTGGACTGCCGGGGTCACGCGTTTAGACCACATTCGCAACGATACCATCAGAAAGCGGTTCGGTGTGGCTCCCATCGCTGATAAGATGCGCGAAGCTCGCCTGAGGTGGTACGGTCACGTCCTTCGCGCTAATGATGACAGTGTCCGTAAGATCGGTCTAGACTTTAACGTGCCAGGAAAGCGGCCAAGAGGACGCCCGAAGCAACGATGGCTTGATACGTTGCATGAGGACTTGAAATTAGTTGGCCTTCACCCCGATCAGGCACATAATCGGGAAAAGTGGCGTCGTAATACCAGGAAAGCGGACCCCGCCACAGGGTGGGACAAACGCTAAAGAATAAGAAGGAGAATGCACACAATTCTCTTATATGATATGGTGTAAAAGCCTGAGGATTCAGCAGAAAATTGCGACACTACTTATGAGACAAACTAATAAGTGTAAATAATGTAATTTGATCGCTTTGAAGGAGGATTTCTTTATGAGCTCAAAAGTCGAAGGTCGAATAGGGAACCCACCCAACGGGAACGAAGGCGGACCACCTGAGATGCGGACCTCGCGCAATTTGCTGTGAAGTATATGCCCGCGGTCATCTACCACCCACCCGCGGCGACTGCGCCGCGGTAAGCCCACCGAGTCGCTAACCACTCACCGCACGTCTCTAGCCGTTTAGCAGAGGGAGGGAGAGAGCGTACGTTGATAAGGGCAATGGCCAGTACCGATGAGATTAGCATCAGTGCGGAAACCAAGTAACAAGGAGGTGACCTCGTTTCCCGGGTTCGTTGTCGTTGCCTATGGTTTTTTACCTAGCACCACTGACCAGTTCTACCTTGATGGGGCTGCCTTCTCACCGTAAACTCCGCCCTCATGTCCAATGTGGCGCGACGAATCATTTGGTGTGTATTTGTGGCGCACCCTAGGAGGTTTTAATTTCACCCCGATGTCATATTGTTGCACTGGCAGATGACACTAGGAGAGTAAGCGGCTCCCTTTGCGCTTCTGCAAATTAGCTAACGAAGCTCTTGTTAGTTTGATGATCTACTGGCCACTGTTACATCTTCAGGTGTTTGACGATGGCCACAAAGTAGCAACACTTTACGGTCTTCGACAGCAATCTGGGCGTGAACACGACCAACCGCATATGTGCATTAGCGATTTCATCAAGCCACTTGAAGACGGTAAGGTTTACCCCATTTTTCTACTTTGTTAGGGTCGTATTTTGTGCTACAGCGTATTTGGCGTCCAGTGTAAGTTCCTCCGATGCATTTGCCAAGTTGGGACTGATTCCTTGCAAATAGTGCATTTCTCGTCTGGGTAAAACCACTTTCTGGTGTTTTTTTCTATTCCTCATGCTCAGCTCATTTTTTAATACATAGCGCGCTAAAGCTCAAAACGCCATTACATAATGGGCCACCAATGTCTTGTAAAGAAGCGTCGATTAAAGGAATCTTCGCAGGAAAATTCTTGCATTCTTTCTCAACATGAATGTGTCAGTTGTGATCACTGGAAACAGCACACAAAGTTTCACGCATGAAGATTCGGTTTCCGAAGAGAAACAAACACAAAAACTACACTCTATGGACAATCGAAGGTAATTCGGGCGGAGCCAAAGGCGAGGCATGGAAAGAAGTTGGCCTTTGGCCGGCTACGTATCAGGCGACGCAATGAAAGAATCGGGTTAAAGCGCGCGATTTCGGAGAGTAGAGACAAATCGATCGATAGAATAGGATGGAGTAGAAGTGTAAGATGTGAATGCAATAAAGCAGAAGGCCAGAAAGAGTTTCTAGTGAAGGCACTCCAAGAACCAAGTGGAAGCATCCCCGTCGCCAGCATTTGTGAAAGACGTCCGTGGGCACTTTGAACGCGTAGCAGCCCTTTCGATTTTTCGAATTTTTCCAAAACAAAAGCAATATTTCTGTTCTTTTCATTCTTATCGTGGATAATGAGTCTCAAGCCAGTGATTTATGGCTGAAATAGAATCATGATTTTTCCGTGAAAGATTCCTTTGAAGGACTGATCGACTGACCACCAGGGTGAACCGTTCGTTGGACAATGTTCATCGAGGTTCGCATTTGGCCAACTGAAAGGGGGGTCGTATTTGCAAAGGTCAACGTCGCAATACGTAGGTGAGAGGCATAACTTTCGAGTGCTTCTCCAACTATTAACCACAAACGAGTGCATGGCGCACCTCAGAGCAGAAGAGTCTACTGCAGAAGTGTCCATATTTGACTGTTCACGTACACAAATATGCTCTCGAGAGAACCAATGTCTTCAAACTGGACCTAAGTTAGTAAAAGAGTGACCACTTGGGTAGATTGACTGCTAAAGGCTTACAAGAAAAGTTTGGGAAAAAAATATTTGCCTGTCGGCGACTTCCTGAAAAGGTTTAGTATCTGTTATGAAGCACAAAGCTTGTGCGATGTCATGGTATCATTATTCCCCATAAAATTGAGTTTGAAGAGAGCTGTGAGTGTTTGAGTGTTGAAAACTCGTGTTTTCAGGAGAGTAGCTCCGAAAATTCATGAAAAAAGCGGTCCAACGGGACGATTTTTCGAACGGGTTCTCCTGGAAACGAGATCAAAAGGGGAACGAGATCGCCAAAATTTAACTTTTTGTAAATCTTCACACCTGGAAAAAATTGGAAGGTCAGAGCCCTTTGATGAGTGGTTGACCATCAGCTTAGTCACAACCTCTAAACATTCCGCTATTAGGCTTGTCAACAAAGTCGCGTTGCTCCTATTCCAGATTTTACAGCCGAGTCATCTAAAAACTATTGGGCTGTTAAGAACAGGTCATGACTCAGTTATTTAGAAATGTATGCCTGGTTGATTTTCTCATCTTTTCGGGGAATTTTTTTTCAAAGAAATGCGGTCACTTTCGTGGATAAAGCACCTTATCCTAAACCTAAAATTCGAACTAATTCCAACAAACATAAAAACAAAACAAATGAGCGAATAGAGCAGAAGAAGTGCTCACAAAAGATACACCACTTGATATGAAACAATGGCGTTTCACGAGGAAGAATTTAATTTGAAAATTGCTATGGCTTATCAGCCAGTTAAACCAAATTCGAAAAGAAATACGGCAAACTTTTTCGGCAACCTAAGAGCGGAATGTTCAGAAGAGGTCATGATAAGTAGAGGGTACATCACTGATTGATTTCTACCAAGGTAGTATAAAGTTAGAGCTACAATACCGCTACTAATTTTTGTTCAATCGACGAAATGCGACGCAGTCAGTCCGTCGCAACCGTCGCCTCGCCATAACTCGTGAACAAATGGATTAGGTCATTCGAAAGTTATACCACTGGATAGCTCTGCTCACGAAGAATCCAACGGTTAGAGGACTATTGAGTTCTCTGAATTTTCGCTTCATTTTCATGAAATTTATCAAATTACCTGAGGCTGACTCATTAGCGAGCGTCGCTCGCTATAATTATAACCAGAGGGGAACAGATATTAATAGTAGTATTTAGCGAGTAATAAAGTTATTATATTACTCCTATGTAAAGTGAAAAAGAGACTGAATAGTTCCAAAATTCCCCCCCCCCCCCCCCCCCCCCCCCTGAAAAAAGCGGTCCAAACGGGACAATTTTTTGAACGGGTTTCCTGGAACAGATCATAAAGGGGAACGAGAATCGCCAAATTTAACTTTTTGTAAATCTTCACACCTGGAAAAAATTGGAAGGTCAGAGCCCTTTGATGAGTGGTTGACCATCAGCTTAGTCACAACCTCCAACATTCCGCTATTAGGCTTGTCAACAAAGTCGCGTTGCTCCTATTCCAGATTTTACAGCCGAGTCATCTAAAAACTATTGGGCTGTTAAGAAAACAGGTCATGACTCAGTTATTTAGAAATGTATGCCTGGTTGATCTTCTTATCTTTTCGGGTGAATTTTTTTCCAAAAAACGTGGTCACTTTTGTGGATAGAACACCTTGTCATGCGATCTGAAATCCGACCTAATTCACAACAGTTATAGAAACAAAACAAATGAGCGAGTAGAGCATAAAAGGTGCTCTCAAAAGATACATAACTAGGTCTGAAACAGTGGCGTTTCAAAGGAAGAATTTATTAAAAACCGCTGGGCCTGGTCAGCCAGTTAAAGCAAATTCAAAAAGAAATACGGCAGATCTTCTTGGACAATCCAAAGAGCGGACTGC